CTGGACAGCACCCGTCGGACGGAGGACTTTCGGGACGGGGGGTGGGACATGTTGTCTCTCCCCCTTCTCTCAGCAAGCAAGATTCGCTCATGTGTCTTGTCTCCCATTTTGCCAAGAATTTGTGCTGAACCTTGGACGGCACATGTGTGGAATATGCTTCTCAGAGCTTGTTTCTGGCCGTCACCCCATCCGGTTGGTGGTGTGTTGGCTGGCCCGCAGGGAAACGCGAAGTTCGCGAACGAACAATTGAGATGCCAGCCGGGCGCGATGTGGGCTGCGGATATTCCGCGTTCAAGGATTCATGAGGGGTTTTTTCTTGCTTGCCTCCTTGCCTGCCTGCTTCTTCTCTCATTGAGCAAGGACCAAGGGCCATCCAAGGATTGGAAGCATTCCAAGCGAGTCCGTAGAATTTTGGAAGAAAAGTCCCGGACGCGAATCGTTCAATGTCACTGACAATCGCGGTAACGGGAACCATGGGTAGAGAATCACGACCCTTGTCTAGCGAGCCCGAGTCAATTGAAGGAGGGCGAGGAGACCGGGGCGCCCAGAGCGGCAAGCGAGACGGGTCGGACCAGGAGGTTTTAGCAAGAACAAGGAGAAAGGGCGAAGCTCTCAGCAGTGCCAGGTTTGCAGTTGTGCTGTCTTGTGGAGACTGGACTCGTGAGAGGCATTGGACTCTGGAGTCAAGGACAGGACGGAACCTTGAAAAAAGTCTTGACGAGGCCCCGGAAATCTAGACCGTTGTCCACCCGCGGGTCGTGACGCTGAGGTCCGATTCGGCAAGGGCACCGATATGGCGTCCTTCTTTCATGTCGGTAAGGGAATTAACTAGTGGATACCGCCATTCCGGAGCAAGCAGGCGCCAAAACAAACAGGCGGAGCGGCAGATTGCCAGGTAGGAAAAAGGAGATGGACGAGGGTGCTCTTGATCGTGCTCCGGGATTTCCACCCTTATTCTTTGCTTTTCAACACCTAGCCATGGAACCGATGCAGCGGCATGAATCACAGGATACCCGGTGGGAAATTTGCATCCATCGCCACAGCCTGCAATGGCGAAAGCATTGTGATTGCTCATTGCACAACACAGTCAGTGCTCCGTACAGATGCGCGGCCACCGTCGTAATTTGGTGGTTCCTTTGGGCCTTGGCATCACCGGCTGCCAAGACGTCTCGTCTCTTGTTCAGGTTCGTTGCGCCGTTGTCTTTGCCCTTTGTTGCGGGCTACGGTTGAGTTGAATCATTCGAATTTCGATAAAACTGGCAACCTTGGATGCCGAGACATGCCATGCCATGTCATTCGATGGAATGGAACGGCCACTGTGGGTTGGGTCTATTGACTGAGCATTGTCGATGATCATTCCCTGATACTTTTGCGATCCTGAACAATACGCAAGGTGCTGACGTGACGTGCCTGGCTGCGGTCAGAAAATGGGTTCCAGAAGCGGTGATGGAATATGAGAGTTCCGCCTGCCAGCCACCCACTTCCCGAGGAGACATCGATACCAGCAGAGGACTGAACAGCGCGCTTGGTGGCGGCTTGACTTGGCAACTTTAGCTGGTCACCAACAGCTTGGACGAGCGAGTGAGCGAGCGTGCGATGCGAGCCAACGGCAGCCCCTCGTCTGCATCGTCAAGGCAAGGCGGAATAGAGGGATCAACGGTTGTGTAAGCCGCCTCCCGCAAGCCCGCAAGGTGCAAGTGAGGGGTAACAGCTTCGCGAAGAGGTGTGTGAGGTGCGAATGGACTCTGCGGCGTCATCATGCATGATTGATTTCTCTACTGGACTCTGCACATCTACTAGCAGCGGGCAGTCTGTTCAGCACTGCATCCAAAGTGCCCCGTGCAGTGCAGCAGCAGCAGCAGCAGCGTGCGTCGGCGTGCTGGTGTTGGTCTGGCCTCGTTCGACGACGACGTCTTCTCCAGAAATCTAAAGGTTATCTGGCGTTGCAGTTCATTTGTGCACACATCCATGACCACTAGTCGGACGTCTTGCACAAGCAACCTGATGAAATTTAAGGTAGGGGCCAACCATGCAGAGTCGAATGCAATTCCAGAGCCCCATCGGTTGGCATGAAGAATGGCTTGGCGTTTGGCATCTGGTGCGGTTGCCCCGCCGTTTTTCGAACTTTGTACTTTTTGCGACTGGAAGGATTGATTCAAGGAAAACCTGCCGTCGGCTCACTCGTCAGCCAGATCGCCCGGCTTTGCAGGTGTACGGAGCAGTAACTGCGGCTCCGAGATGCCTGACTGGGAAGCTCGCAAATGGATCTGCTACCGCCATAGGCAAGTGGTATCATCCGTCGCCATCGGGCTGCCGAGGCATTCAATGGCGGACACTTGCAGACTGCAGTAGCAAAAGTCCTCCAACGGTTCTCCAAGTCTCTCTCTTCAGCGGCCAGAGAGGGAATGCGATATGGCATCTCATCTCGCACTCGTACAAATATGGTAAACTAACTCATGGGACGCAGACGGTCTGAACATGAACCCCTCTGACAAGGCTCGACCTTGCGCAGTCCATGCCAGCAACCCCATATTCCCCCAGCCTGCACGAGACTCGAGAGCAGCACAAAGAGGCAAGGCACATTGTCAATCGTCCAGACATGATACGCAGGTGTCTGAGTTGGATGCGGACTGGGCAGTTGGTGCTCCCGTCGAGAACGCCTGCTTCATGCTGCATGGGACAGCCTTGAAGCTTGGAGGACGACACCGGATTCAATGCCGCCCAACACAACGCACGGTAACTGGGAGGCACGGAACGGGAGCATCGAATACTGATTGGAATTGTAAAAGCCTGTGTGCCATGCTGAATGGTGGTGGTGTTCCTGGTCTGTCGATCCTGGCTTTCCGCCGCCTCACCAGTTCCAGCGTCCAGTCAGCGGCCGATACCGATCGACGCAACCTGGCGCACTGTACGCGTTTTGCGATGCTGGAGATTTTCCGTGGTTCCTCGGATGTGTTTTTTGTGTATGCGTATGCGTATGCGTATGTGTGATATCGTTGCGTTTTGGACGGCCAAGCTGACGGGTTCGTTTGGACTTGGCCGCCGATGACAGCGAACGAAAGAAGGCGTGATCGAATCTCGATCTTGGGCGGTCTTTGGCGGGTTGTTTCTTTTTTAGTTTCTTACCTTAGCCCACGAGCTATCGCCGTGTCAAGTTGCTGACGCCGTCCGTAAGGAAGCTGCTTAGCAGTATCAGCCAAGCCGTCCCAGTCTGTGTTTTGTGGCAGAGCCCGGCTACGGTTATTCCTTCAGCAACGCAGACTAAAACAATAAGCAGCACAACGACGGACGGCGTCGGGGTCAAGGTGGCGCCGAGCTTCTCAGAGACGGAGAAGCTTCGTTCGTTGTCGTTGTCGGCCTCGTCGTCGTTGTCGGCCTCGTCGTCGTTGTCGCATAATGCAATTCGATGAGACGACGTCCACGCAACCAGAGGCCAGAAACAACGCGACATTGACAGGCCATACAGACAGCACCAGCTGAGTGGTTGACGGGGCAGAAACCCAGAAACGCGAGTGTCAAGGTGGGAGGTAGCGCCGGCGGTGGACTGGTTGTGGAGCGCTCAGGTTATTGGGTGTTTGATAAGAATAACGGGCAACTTGGGTTGACCTGTGGTGCTTAATCCCTCCCTGTCTCTAATCCAAACGCTTGCGAGGAGAGCACTTTGTGATTATCCATGGCGATACTGTGCCGCCGGGAACCCACACACCAGCTGCGGAGGACCTCATAGGTCACCTAGACGCCATTCATAGTAAAACGGTCACTAAGAATAAAGAAGAAAGGAAAGAATGCTCGGCCTGCGATGCTACCCCAAACACTTTGCCGTCCGGGCGCTTCAGCAGATATTTCTATCCCTCCCAGATTGGTGCACTATATATACATACCATGGAATAAAATGTGTATTGTGTTTGTGAGCACAAAGTACAATACCGTGTGAATCAGACGTCGCCCCACACGGGGAGAGTCTGGAAGCCCGCACACCACCACCCGAGTGCCACAGTCACGACCCAACGATTTCACCAAGAGGCGGGAAGGTAGCGGGCATGTTGCTTGGCCACCTCCTTCAAGGCGACATTCTCATTAATGTCTGGGTGGGATACCTGGATCTACCCGGCTTGCCTCCTGACAAGCTACTGGGACCCCTCGAAAGCACGCCGGGCAGGCTAAACCGCAAACAGGGTAGCAGCGCCCCTTCACTGGCGTACCCCTGTCCAGGCCTCGTCGCCGGCCAATCAGGTGTACTTCTTTGCACTGCCTCTTTCTTGGCACCACATGTGGGAGATCCAAACTCTCTGATGTCTGCTGGTGGCACTCCAGAAGCCAAGTCGACTGGGCTCACTCACCTCACTGGTTTGCTTTCCATGCTCTTTCTTTGCTTTGCTCGCAACAACCTGGAAAAGTCCACAGCGCAACCGCTGTGTCTTCAATCCCGTCTCCTCCAGTCCTTCCCGTCACTCTCTACCCAGGTAGCATGCCTTACCGCGCTGACTGAGAAACGAGAACCTCTTTTATCCAATACCTTCCCTTTTCCCTTTTTACCCTTTTTCTTTGCCTGCCCTGCTCTGCTCGCCTGCCGCCATGTCGACTGAGGGAGACGTCTGCACCAACGACGAATATTGAACATCCCTCCTCCCTCTATCCCACTGGCCCCTCTGCTTCGCCTACCTACTTGTTTACCGCCGAGTCGACTTTGACGACCGCGACCCTCGTCTTTACGAAATCGGCCCACCGACGACGCGCTGAAGCGCTTCTCGCCGCTGCTGCTTAATTCACCTCACCCACCACGCTCACGTCGTCTGCGTCTACCTACGTCTACCGCCCTCTTCGCGGCCCATCGTCACTCCTTCGCCGCCCGGCTGCCTTTTCCATTGTCTCGCTTCTGCACAGCCTCGCGTTCGCCTATTCGCTCAACCACGCTGGCGGCCTCTACTCACCTTTGCCTCACACCAACAGACACTACGCTGCGCTAAAGAGGCTGTGTTCGTGGACCTTTGCCCGGAACCATGGACCCCAACGCCTCCCCCACGGAGGGCGCTCAGGAAGGCGCACCTCAGCAAAGGAGAAATAGAGCGTATGTTTAACTTGACGATGTGCCGCCTTGCGATATGCCTTCTTCCTGCCAAGTATCAACAACTGACGCCTGCTCTTTCCTAGCCCAACAATTACGATAGACACCTCTGCTACCGGTGTCACCCCCAGTCCTGAACCAGACATGGCCCAGGATGCGCAGAAAGAGGTGTCCAACTCACCCATTTCGCCCAAAGATGAGGGAGTCAGCCCGACCACAGTCCCCGAAGGCGCGAACGCTCCATGGGCAGCACCTTCAGAAAAGCCTACGAAGCCAAAGTTGCGCGCCGACACATCTTTTGACGGCGGCAGAGATAGCAGACCCCAAAGCCCCCATAATGTATCGAGTCCTGTTGAGACATTGAGAGGGAACAACCGCGCCTTCCTCGCCGTGCCCAGCAACCTGCGGTCACGACAAAATTCCATCGACTCCAACGACGATAATTCTTCACAAGGCGAAACCATCGCTGTTTTGAGTCAATCAACAGAAAAGACATTAAAGAACAACAGCCCAGTATCAAACGACAAAATCATGAAGGATGACAGCGCCTTGACGCCGGACAAGGGCAGTGAGGATGATTTCAAGGCCGAAAACAACCCGTTTGCATTTACGCCTGGACAGCTGAATAAGCTGTTCAACCCCAAAAGCCTCTCGGCCTTCTACGCTCTGGGCGGTTTGACTGGGATCGAAAAGGGACTGCGCAGTGATCGCAAAGCGGGTTTGAGTTTGGACGAGGTCCATCTCGACGGATACGTTTCTTTCAGCGACGCGACATCCCACCTCGGTTCATCAGGAGATTACAAAGAGGCCAAATCAGAGTCAACACCTGCCAACCACTCGGGGCAACACGATAAGCACGCCGATGACGCCTTCGCCGACCGTAAGCGTGTTTTCAAGGACAACCGGATTCCCGAGAAGAAGGGCAAGACTCTCCTGCAGCTGATGTGGATCACGTATCAGGACAAGGTGCTGATGCTTCTTACCGCCGCCGCCATTGTATCGCTCGCTATCGGTATTTACCAAACAGTCGGATTGCCTCACGCCCCGGATGAGCCCAAGGTCGAGTGGGTCGAGGGTGTTGCAATCGTGGCCGCCATCGCTATCGTCGTTATCGTCGGATCACTCAACGATTATAGCAAGGAAAGGCAGTTCGCGAAATTGAACCAGAAGAAGAAGGACCGCGACATCAAGGTTATTCGCTCAGGAAAGACCATTGAGATCTCCGTCCACACTCTCATGGCTGGAGATGTCGTTCACCTCGAGCCTGGCGATCTGGTCCCAGTTGATGGAATTCTTATCGAAGGCTTCAACGTCAAGTGTGATGAGTCTCAGGCTACGGGAGAATCGGATATCATCAAGAAGCGTAATGGCGAAGACGTATTCAACGCCATCCAGAACGGCGAGGAACCCAAGAAGCTGGACCCTTTTATTCAGTCTGGTGCCAGAATCATGGAAGGCGTCGGTACCTTCATGGTTACCTCTGCTGGTATCCATTCATCCTACGGAAAGACACTTATGGCTCTGGACGAAGACCCCGAGGTCACCCCGCTGCAATCGAAGCTGAACACCATTGCCGAGTATATCGCCAAGCTTGGAGGTGCCGCCGGTCTGCTGCTCTTCATCGTTTTGTTCATCGAGTTCTTGGTCAAGCTCCCTAAGCAACCCGCTTCCGTCACTCCCGCCGAGAAGGGCCAGGACTTTATCAACATCGTCATCACCGTCGTCACCATCATTGTCGTCGCCGTTCCTGAAGGTCTTCCTCTCGCCGTCACCCTCGCTTTGTCTTTTGCTACTAGACGTATGCTCAAGGACATGAACCTCGTCAGACACCTCAAGGCTTGCGAGGTTATGGGCAATGCGAACACCATCTGTTCCGACAAGACAGGCACTCTCACACAGAACAAGATGCAGGTCGTTTCTGGTACGGTTGGCACCAGCCATCGCTTCGGAGGCTCTCGCTCGTCTGGTGAAGACGACGGCACTGTTGACGACTCTTCCGATATCTCGATTGCCGAGTTCGCCAAGATGCTCAGCACCCCGGTCAAGGAGATTCTGCTCAAGTCTATCTCCCTCAACTCTACCGCATTTGAAGGTGAAGTCGATGGTGAGAAGACGTACGTTGGATCCAAGACGGAGACTGCTTTGCTTCTGTTAGCTCGCGACTACTTGGGCATGGGACCTGTTGCGGAGGAACGTGAGAACGCCAAAATCCTGCAGCTTATTCCCTTCGACTCTGGTCGTAAGTGTATGGGTGTCGTCGTTCAACTTCCTGATGGACGCGCGAGACTCTACGTCAAGGGTGCCTCTGAGATCGTCCTCGCCAAGTGCACTCAGCTCTTCCGCGATCCCTCTCAGGACGCTACCCTCATTCAGATGACCGAGCCCAATTTCCAGACCGTCAACACCTTGATCAACGCCTACGCCTCTCGATCCCTCCGAACAATTGGTATTGCGTACAGAGACTTTGATTCTTGGCCCCCGCGCAACGTCCGCCGCATCGATGGAGACAAGAACGAGACTGAATTTGAGGACCTGTTCCGCACTATGAGCTTCATCGGCATGGTTGGTATTCAGGATCCTCTTCGCGAGGGTGTCCCCGAGGCTGTCAGACTTTGCCAGAAGGCTGGCGTCATGGTTCGCATGGTTACTGGAGACAACAAACTCACGGCTGAGGCGATTGCCAAGGAGTGCGGTATTTTGCAGCCCAACGGACTCGTTATGGAAGGCCCCGAGTTCCGCAACCTGACCAAGTCTGAACAAGAGGCCATCATCCCTCGCCTCTGCGTTCTCGCCCGATCGAGCCCCGAGGATAAGCGTGTCTTGGTCAAGCGCCTCAAGGCCAAGGGCGACATCGTCGCGGTTACTGGTGACGGTACCAACGATGCGCCTGCGCTGAAGACAGCTGACGTAGGTTTCTCCATGGGTATCGCTGGTACTGAAGTAGCCAAGGAGGCGTCCTCCATTATTCTGATGGATGATAACTTCAACTCGATTGTCAAGGCTTTGAAGTGGGGACGTGCCGTCAACGATGCCGTCAAGCGCTTCCTCCAGTTCCAGCTTACTGTGAACATCACTGCCGTGATTCTGACTTTCGTTACTGCAGTCAGCAGCACTTCGGTCCTCACCGCCGTGCAGCTGCTCTGGGTCAACCTCATCATGGACACCCTCGCGGCCTTGGCTCTGGCCACGGACCCCCCTCAGGACAGCGTCTTGGACAGGAAGCCCGAGAAGCGCAACGCCTCCATCATTACCACCACCATGTGGAAGATGATTCTTGGACAGGCGGTCTACCAATTGGCCATCACGTTCATGCTTTTCTACGGCAAGGAAGCCATCGTGCCCGGCCCTGAGCACATCCCTGATGACCAGATCGCCACCATGGTTTTCAACACCTTCGTTTGGATGCAGATCTTCAACCAGTGGAACAACCGACGACTGGACAATCACTTCAACATTTTTGAGGGTATGACCAAGAACTACTTCTTCATCGCGATCAGTGCCATCATGATTGCTGGTCAGGTCTTGATCATCTTCGTTGGCGGCGCTGCCTTCCAGATTGCCGGAGAAGGACAGAGCGGCATCCAATGGGCTATGGCCGTCATCCTTGGCGTCATTTCCATTCCTTTCGGTGTCGTCATTCGCCTCGTACCCGATTCCTTCGTTGAGCGACTTGTTCCCGATTATCTGAAGCGACGTGCCAAGGACACCGTTCCTGGGCTTACCGTCTCAGACGAGGAACAGTTCGAGATGTACCCTGCGCCTTTGTCCGATGTTCGCGACGAGTTGGCCTTCATCAAGCGCATGAAGGGAGGTCGCTTGAACAACCTCAAGTTTGCGGTTCAACACCCCCGCGAGACTTTTGCTCGCTCGCGTAGCCCGTCACACTCGCGAAGCAACTCTATCAAGACGCCGTCCACTCCCACGCGAGAGGATAGCTTTGGCTCGCTGGCACAAACGCCCGACTCACGAAAGAGATCGCGCAGCTCGCGTAGCCGTTCTAATTCAGCCCTCGGCGCGCCGACTGTCATGGCGGGCATTGTCGCCGCCGGCATTGCCGCCAACTGGTCACCTGCGGATCGCCGACCCCGCCGGGAAAGCGACGAGGACAGCAACATTAGGAGAGGAGTCTCTCGGGAGAACTCGATTCGGGAGGAACGAGAGGAGCCTACGAACGAAAAAGCAGGGGATGAAAAGAAGGGCGCGGAGTGAGTAATTAATTGCGCCAAGTTATACATATGGATTGCGGCGTTTTGTGAGCGAAAAAAAACCACCAGTAAAGCAGTGCGCTTGTGTGTATTTGTATTTGTACGGATATTATTCTCCATCAGGGACCGCGGTCGTTCCCGAACGTTATTTTCTCAAGTTTTGATAGAGACCGCAGGCCCGAACGCCCGAACATTATGGATCGAGAGACACGGATCGAGAGACCAAGAAATCATAATTGAAAATATTGAATCAAGATCAAAAAAAACAGACTCCTTCATTGACTTGCGTGATTGACGTGTCTGATCTCCTGATGCGGTTGACTCAAGCCCCATCCTGGGACCCCACCCCACACCGTAGCCATCCACAATTGGGTCGCTCGCTTGGGGGCCGTCGACGCAGACGCTGTGATCGAGATTCTGGGCGGCTATGGTGACTGGTCGAGTGGGTGAGGGGGATGGAGTGCAGAGTTGAGGTAGGCTACGCGCTGTTGGTCATAGAATTCAGTTTCCCTTGCCTTGACAATCTGTTGGAGGTACTTTTGACAACTCGCCTCGCTTGTTAGTCCTTGGGGTTTCAGTTGGTTTGTCAATGTGGCGATGCTACCCGCAGCGTCCGGCCCTTGCAGGAGGGCGGTTCGGGCTGACAAAGTAGATGGAGGGTTAGGGCTCTAGGATGGATAGATAGTCGTGGTTCAGATACCGTGTACGTTATCGTTGGGTTGGTTGTTTGGGTTCGGTGCAACCGTTGGTTTTTACCGGTGAACTATACAGGCTGCAATGGGGGCGATGTATGTTGGTTACCTTTGTGGCTCAGCCTGCCTTGGATTTTCAACGATTCCGCAAGAAGAGGAGCAAGCCACATGTAGGTTTATGGGTTTTTGGTGACAGGCAGGCTTACTGGGCTAGCTGGAGGGTTGTGTTGCGTGGATATGGGGGCGTTTATAGTTATTTTGTGTGTTTTGCTTTGACTTGTACCCATCAGTCTTGGCTGCTTCTTTGTGAGGCGCCAGGGAGTCTAAACATAGGAGAAATGTTAAACAGGTATTCAGAACTGTGTGAAGATGCGAATACACAAAGCTGCGCTTCGGTTGGCAACTGTCGTCACTGTCGCTGTCTTCCCAGTAGTTCACTTGAGAACGGGACGGATTACTAACATCTTGTTCATAAAGGAACCCATCCGAACAAATTCATGGACAGCCGAGTCCGATGAAGCTTTTGGAATACGGGCCTCTTTTCTGGCAATTGTAGACAGCTAAAGCAAAGCTCCCGATGACATCTTGCGAGCAAGACCAGGACGCGTGCGGGACGGACCTGACAATGTGATACTTCGGCACCGTAAAGGTTTCTTCTTCTTGAGTCAATTATGCGAAGACTATGTTTTCAGCGATGAATAGTCTATCACTGCCTTCACTCTCACTGGTGAGTTGCCATATGTCTGGCACCATCTGCTAATCGACTCAGACTACTCATGTCTCCAGCCCTTTTTTGTGTACCTTAGAGAGAAAGGTGATTGAGCGGGGGGTTCAATTTGCTAACCAAGCGCATACCCAACCTGTTTGCGAAGGGTCACGGTGAAGGAGTTGTCGACATCCCTGCCTCGAATGAGCATGTAGGCAACTTGGTATCAGCCGTGGATGGCAGCATGGAGCATCGGGACTATGCAACACTGCAAGCAATTCCAGCCCGATATGTGAAGCTGGCGTCTCCTATTCATCCTACCTAATACCTCGGATCAAGTAGAGACGATGAGTAGAAATGCCGTTCGGCGAAGTCCAATGTCTGCGTGCAAGCCTCTGACGATACGGCGTGTGTCTCCCTACTTCCATTCAGACATCAAACTTACACCATTAGAGACAAAAAAAGAAGTAGGCTGTTGCACGTCACCTCGAAGACAACTTTCTGACATACCGCATCGAAAGAGATTCGGTAAGCAGAGAAGAATCAACCTCACTCTACGGGCGGCATGATAACTCTAGTTCATCTCTATGACGAAGACAATTCGTACGAACTCACTGCGTACGACGGTCCTGAGAGGCCTGCTCGGATATTCCAGTTCACTGTGTGTCGAGCGCCGTTTGGGCGGACGCTTGCCGTGACCTAGTGAACCGCGTACTCGAGCTCTTCAACACCAGCAGGTTTCAGTCGACTAAGCTAGCCCGGCACAATTTTCTTTCGGAATCCTAGAGGTGAGGCAGAATTTACGACGTCAACCCCAAGCCTCCAACACAAGTCACCGTCATGCAGCGCACGGAAGGATCCCAAACGGCGATGGTGGGACCGCCGTGGCGGTATCAAACTCCGACCAAGATCATCTCCATCAAACCAACCAACCCTACCCTAGAAGCATCGATAAACTCCCGTCGCGCACTAATAAGCGCTTGCCTGCTGAAGGTGCAGTTGGTTATATTTCGTCAAGTCACCTCGAGTCCTGTCATCCGAGAAAAGGAAAGGGACACGCAACTCCCAGGCTCCGACATTTTCGGACGATGGCTCCCCCTACTAGGTAGTGTGTAAATCTGCAACAGGTAAGTTGATGCGACAATATTGGTAGCCTGCTTCTTGCTAGGCAGACAAGCAACAGTTTCCATATTTCCCCCTCTTCGCCAAGTCCTCGAGAGCCTCATTAGGGAGATGCATAGTCCTTGGGGAACAAGGCAGGCTATGTAAATAAGTGTTTGGGGTTGTGTGACTGTTTGCACTTTGGTGCATGTAAGATGACACTGGGATGACACTGGTCAGCTAGGACAAATGAGGGAGGGCGCAATAGCAAGCTGGGCCGTTGAGTCACCGCCACACTGTCAGCACGCAGGCATCAATATTTACGACAGATATGCGTCATGCAATTGACTGGAACACGAACAGCTTGGTGAACATACACAGTATCGAGTAGGCAAACGCTCAGGCACACTCGATTCACAAGTCACACATGCACACACGTGTGCGATTCACGCTGATTGTCAGTGTTACAACTGAAGCAGTCTGATTCTGTTTCTACTGCTACGAAAAGGTTGAAAGACCAATGAAAAGACGCGGGTTGAACCTGTTGTAGGTTTCTAGGTATTCTGACAAAATAGGAAAAAAAGCCATGAAAAAGGAAACAAAAAATGCCCTTTTTGATAGGAATTATCAGTCCCTTCCCTTGTGAACGCCGTTATCCCACCGTGTGTCCGTTTCCCTGGTCCATTTGTGTAAACCGCACGCCACTCTGAAATGAAATGTGGCCGAAGAGGAAAAAGGAAAAAGAACAAGGCCAAGGAATGGGGAGGCCCAATCGCCAGTCGGCCTTGTAGTAGCAATCCAGTATCTGTAGCAATCGAAGAACTCAGTCTTTCACTAGAAGGAATGCTTCATTCAATCGATGATTGAATCGACGCGCATAGCTCGAGTTCAACAAGTCATATGACAAGCTGTTGGGCCGATCGGGCGAATTAGGGTGTGGTGGTTGTGCTAGACCGCAACTCCGACTCCGTGGCAATGGGCGGTGGAGACTGAAATTCGTGCCCAAGATCCTAGCAGGGTTCTGTGTTTTTGTGGTGACCCTCGCTGGTGAGGTAAATTTACCACAACAGGTGCAACGTGGCGATGGCCGCAGCCACATGAAGTGTAGACGCATGCGTCGCCATCGGCAATAGTGTTGCCGTCTTGGGTTTGGCTTTTTGGGCTGTCGAATCAGGGCGCTAGTATCGCTTCTCAAGACCGACTGAACCATCGACAAGGCGCTGAAAGTGCGCTCGAGGGGTCAATGCCCGGGTATCCTTCTGAAGGTAGAGCGAAAGTAGGAAAACATCAAATTTAATGAATCGCTGCACAAAAGTTGTGGTTCCGCTGCAAACAAGCGCTCAGGTGGACTTCCTGGGCTTCATCGACTTTGTCGGTCTCGCAGGCTTCGTCGGCTTCACAAATTGGTCTTGATTTTTGGGCGACTCTTGCTCTTGCTTCACTAGCGACGTGCCGGGCCTGACGACTTCGAAGACGTGTCTGCTCACACAGCTTCCTTCGGGTCGGACATCGACAACCTGGTCCTCGGGAACCATCTCGTGCTGCAGAGGCCAACCTGCACGGCGACACAGTTCCGAAACGACAACGTCGCAGTCGCCCAGCAGGTCGATGTCGAAGTTGATATGACTGACAGCTTGTCGCGAGATGTAAATCTGGGGGATGTTGCCAGGTAGCCAGCTCACTATTTCTGACACCGGCGTCACCTTCAGACTCGTACCAATAACGATGACAAGATCGACCTTGTCACGATCGTGCTCAGTCAGGCGACGGCTGAACTCGTCAGGCAGAGCCTCTCCGAAGAAGGTGATGTCCGGCTTCATGACACCCGCGCTAGGAACGTCATACTCATCGTCGGTTGTCGAGTCATCGGAGCTGAAGCGGCGGCGCTTCCTCTCGGTCCCCGCAGACCGCTTGCGCTTGGTGCTGCCATTGGGGCGGAGGTTCTGGATGCAGCGAGGGCATCGCGGAATCTTACCAGCCTTGATGTCGGGGAAGATGTCGTCACCAACGCACTTGAAGCCGCATTGAACGCATGTGGCAGTTGCGAAAGAGCCGTGGCATTGAACCATCTTGTCGGAAGAGATGCCCGCCTTGGCCTCGAGGTTGTCAATGTTTTGGGTGTAGTTGGTGAGCAACTTGCCCTTCTTCTGCAACATTGAAATGAATGCATGGGTAGGGGTGAAACGGTTGGTAGACGGCAAGATGTCCTTGGCAACAGTGTAGAAGATGGTCGGGTCCTGCTTAAAGACGGAAATGTCAAACACTTCTTGCGGGTCATTGAGGCCCAAGTGCTCGAGTTGTGAGTAGAGACCACCCTTGGAGCGGAAGTCGGGAATGCCAAGCGAAGTGGAGATTCCGGCGCCAGTGAGGACGATGATGTTTTGACTCTTGTTCAAGAGTTCCACGGCGTCATCAACCGTGTTGAAGCGCCACAGCTTCGCGCGCTTAGACAGCTCTCTGCTAATGGCGAGCGACAAAATGCTGAAGTAGGCCTCATCTTCGGCA